GTACAAAGCATTGATTTGTCTCATTGTTTGAATTAAAAAACTTCTTGTATTGAATTAAAAAATCCACAGGTGGAGGTCAGAGACCCACACCTTCCACCTTCCTTGCGGCAAGATGACTATTACGATGTAGGACGTGAAGATGATTCTGTGTTTGTGGTTGGGGGGTCTTCCAGTGACTGGGATCCTTGATAACGATCACTGGATGGACTTGGTGGAGCAGTTCTGTGGCATGTGGCAGAAGATCACTCGAGGGCGAGGATGCTAAGAGAGCAAAGTAAGAATTTCTACGTTTCAAACATTTACCATTTTGACACCAGCACATGCAAGTCTTTGGTTGGTCTCTTATATCACAAATATATGTTATGGTCTAAGTCTGTCATTGATCTACGTATTCTGCAAATTATTTTGCTATTTAAATGGAGGGTGTAGTACATAACTTTTATGATGCGTATTGTCTTTGTCTAATTTAATGTTTATTTTTATTCCCTCGGCTCTTATGTAATTGTCCTTAAAAAATTTTAGGAAAACATCCGGTGTCAGTTCGATCTAGATAATAGAAAACTTCGGGGTGCCGCTACACCCAGACGCTCAAGAGCAGGAGATCAAGAGGTATGCTAGAGTGTGGCTATGACACTTCTTAGGCGCCTTCCTATTTCCCAACGCGTCAGGTAACACCATCAGCTGGGCCTTCCTCAACATACTGAGCCAGCCATGGGAGAATATAGGAGCGTACAGCTGGGGCAGCGCGGTCCTAGCATGGATCTATCGTCAGGTCTGCGTTACCTGCCAACGCAGTACAGGAGGTGCCAACCTAGGAGGTTGCTCCCACCTACTACAGGTTTGGTGTTTGGAGCGATGGCCAGTTGGGAGGCCCGTTGTTTACGGTTTACCTGTAAGTGCATCGATTTTTTATTTTCCTCAAACTTGATGCCGCACTTGTGACTGACTATCCTATTCAATGTAGGCATGGAATCACGTGGACATAGGACCGACTGCTCTGTACGTCTGGTAAGAAGTGGAGGTAGTTAGAGGGAACCCGAAGCGGCGATACATGCAGTACTCGGACACGCTAGACGTCCTGACACAGCACCAGGTAACAACCACTTCGATACTGCTAGTCGGTGTTGTTGCTTTTTTATTATTCCTAAAATATAACTGTAGTTACCTAACTTTCAGGTGAATTGGTGTCCTTGGTCCAGATTCAAGCTAGAGGGGTACCTGAGTCCTCGCACTGAGGAAGAGTCGGACGAGTGGCTTTTTAACTGGCCACTAATTTTCTTCCACGTGGTCGAGATGCACTACCCTATAAGGGTGTATAGGCAGTTTAGAAGATTGCAGCCATACCCACCGCCACTGTACACAACCAACAGAAAGTTGCACAGGTGCGACGACTATAACATAATAATTTAGCAGTCATGTGCATACATACAACCACTAACTTAAGTTAAACTTGTAGGTATGATCGAAGGAACAGGTACAAGGAGAAGAATTTGGCTATGACGCACGTGGGATACATCCATGACTGGGAGAATAGGCAAAGGGTCCTGATCGCCGAGAAACCATCGCATGACCAACGCAACTTCGACGGCTACCTCCAAAGGTTGCATAGGAGTATCCGCACACATATGCAGGCCCCCTACACTAACAAGCCAATTGATGAGGATGAAGACGAGGATGACATCGCTGATGCATATGACCAAGCGACAAGGATGGAGACAGCTTCAGAGAGCCCCGCTACAAAGATGTGTGGTAAGAAATTTGAATTTCAATACAACTGCACGTCGGCATTCCTATGAATTGTAGTGATACGAACTTACCTCGATTGTGTATGCAGGCAACACAGTTGACAAGTCTGTCCAACGAAGCAGTCATGCGACTTCACGAGGCCAGAGGGGAGCCACACGGCATTGTACACGTCTTCGTCGATGTATATTCTATTCTCAAAGCCACGACAATGGTTAAATGGTTCCCATAACCCATTCATCCGTGTTTTCTTTTTTTGCAGAAAGTGAGGAGGAGCTGCAAGAAGCTGGCATAGAAGCTCAGCTGCGTGGATACTCCGTGGGAGATGCCCTATAACCCAGACCTATCTAGTTCCTTATGCCCTAACACTATGCCGACACGAGCAGGTTCCTCCGACACGATGGATGCTGGGACCTCTTATGTTCGTACTCCTAGCAATGCAGACAAGGGTCCTGCGGAGCACGACGTTGAGGAGGATGAGGATGAGGATGAGGAGGACGAGGACGAGGGCGAGGACGAGGACTACGATGAGATTGGGATGTCTCAGCTTGGTGATGCACCATTTTCTACACAGTTCGACGAATAGGTACTTGAAACAACCCTTCGTCTTATACGTCACAATTACTTAAACATTGTAAGTAACGATGCCTATATTGTAATTGCAGGGTCCTAGTTACACTCAGCAGTACCGTCGGGTGTACCGCCAGTGAGACCGTACCGATATTGGGTTCACCCCTAATGTGCTGCCTTCACGTCCGAAGAGGCAGCGATGTCCGCAGTACCCATATACTCCTAGGTCGTAGGAGTTCTTTAGGATGACATGACGCACTTGTACTCGGACACCCATACACTGATGGAACATGTAGTATGTCGAGTAATGCCGAATTTATGTATTGATGAACTTGTGTCTAGTTATGACTTGATGAACTTATGTCGCACAGAGATATTGTTGAACTTGCGATGAACTTGGGACGTGTACAAATCAGTATTGTTGAACTTGTGTATTGATTGTCTCGTTCACTTAACCTTTCTTTGACCTATTCGTTAAACCGACACGACGAAATAACTTGGCTCATGTGAGAACATAACAGAAGTGCCGTGTTCCATTTGTTGTCGCTTTGGCCGCCGCGCCATGGCTGGGGCGCGTCAGCCTTGCCGCGCCATGGCGGCTGGCGCGTCAAACCTGCCACGTCAGCGGTCGCCGCAGCCGTTGACTGCCCCTGCCGCGCCGCCATGCATGGCGCGACAGCGTGCATTAGCCACGCCGTGCAAACAGGCACATCCAAAAGTGTTAGTTTGGAAGAAAAAAATTAAAAAGTGTTAGTTTTAAAAATAGTTTGAAAAAAGTGTTAAAAAAAAGAACCGGAGTTGGAAAACGTGGAATGGAGTGGTTCCAACCCCTTGAGAAATACAACACGCTACCTTATATTTACTACTTTACAAAGGCAAGTGAGAGAGCAGCAACAAAGGGGAAAATTATATTTTATCTTTTCTGGAATATAACTGTAATATGATATTGCTCCTCAAACTCTAAAACTAGATTTTTTTACAACCATTCAAATTACCTTTCTGCCTTGGGTTGAAGTGGTTTCGAAGGTGGATTTATCTTTTCTTTTGTTAAAAATAAAAATAATCTGTTAAATACTTCATGAGGTTTTTAAACCATAGAAAAGTGTCTCTAGGCTTTAAAAATTTTAAGAGAAAAAAATCTAAAGATAGACAAGGATATGGAAAATCTAAATAAAATATTTAGAGCTTGTCAAAATATATTTAGCTATAGAAAAATAAAAGAATATAAAAAATATATAAAATTCCAAAAATATTATAATTGACGTCTGAGCATGTATTAGAATGATTTAAAAAATTGTATATTTTTCTATTTTCCTAGAGCTAATCATGATTTTTGGAACTTTTTATAGAGATATTTTTATGGGATCTAAATATTTTATTTTGGTTCATGTATCCCAATCTATCTCTTAGATATTTCTCAAAAAGTTTGGAAACTTAGAGAGATTTTTTATAGTTTTAAAATATTATCAAGTATTTACCAGATTTTTAACTAAAAACAAAACTGCCTCTGAACCATTTCAAACTGGGGGAGGGATGTAGTTTGAACTATTTTTGAGAGTTTAGGGGGGTGGGGGTGGTGGTAAGATATCTAATTTTAAATTCAAGAAAATGTAGACTATTGTGATATTGAAGGAGTCGAAATGACTTTTGCCACAAAGAAAACTCAAGGCCGGTAACTCCTGGACTGCAGCTTGAGAAAAGCCTGCTAGGAGCCCAGCAGCAAACGGGCCACTAAACACCTTAAATATGCTTTGAGCAGACCCATTATCGCTGTTTGAGCAGGAAGTGACAAATTTTACCCAAACAAATCTAAGTTGTTCAATCAACACTCGATGTCTACTAGAAAATGTGACTGATTGGTAAGCTTAGAACCAGTGCTCTAATAAGGCGACAGATCTTTTTTAAAATCCTTAATATAATTACGTGCCAAAATTTGAACTCTTATCTCAAAACGAAAAAGATATATAATATATTGCACAATTCCTATCTATCAGTCACCTGATTTTTTTAAGTCCATTCAGGCGACGCCGTGCACTCGTGCCATCGCTGGTGCATTCCGTGGTGCTAGAAAAGCTGGTTTACGGTCGGAGCGACGGACGCTGTTGCAGCACGCGTGCACCTGCGAATGCTGAAGCTATGCGATGGAGCATGTATGAGGCAAAAGAGGCAGATTTCCTTGGATGCTCCTATCATTAACGTGCTGAGTAGTACTAGTAGGCTAGCAGTAGCTAGATTGTTTTGTTAATTGTTTTTGTGTCATACTATATTAATTTTTTGTCTTTGTCTACCTACAGAAAACAATTGTATAATGTTAATTGTCTTTGTGCCAATGTAGATCAAATTTTTTTCAGGTTTGTAGTTTTGTCTAGCGGGTTTTTTTATTCTCGGACCTGAAAATTGCAGATTACGGCCTACAGAAATTACGATAAACTAAAGCAGCAATTTTAACATAAAACATGTGCAATAACCGTCGCCCAAAATGAAGTTAAAATTTAGGCACCTGAATTTTATATTGTGTCAAATTAACAGGACAAATGCATGCAGTTCCATTTCTATCTTATTTTTCGAAATTTTTATGCATTCATTGTATGTATATATATAATAAAACTATAATAGGTAAGAAAGCCGAAGAAAGAAAAATCATCATAGTCATACTACTCCTTTGTATGTACTTTTACATTGTCTTATTATTCTTTAGGTGGACCGTGCTGAGCTGCAACTCCATGTTCGTCGTGCACGTCGACACGGGCCGCGTGCCCTTGCCCCGCCGCCTCGGCGCCCGCACCGAACGCCGCCGTGCCCTCCACTTCGGCCCTGACCACCTTCTCCATGGTCATGGCACCGACGTCGGACGCGGCCCTGGCGACGGCGCCGACGGCGGCCGACACCCAGGCGGTGCCGCGAGACGCGTAGGGGCTGCCCGCCACGACCTCCCCGGCCGCGGAGAAGGCGCCCCAGGCGCGCTCCGTGACCTGGAACCGCTCGTCGACGCCGCGCGCCGCGGCCGTGCCGAGGCTGAACTTGTCGCTGAGCCCCAGGCGGCGGTCCAGCGACGCCACCCGCGCCGTCACCGTGGACAGCAGCTGCTGGTGCCGGCCGTCGAACGACTGCGCGCGCCGCAGCGCGTCCTTGCTCAGCACGAAGCCCTTGGCCAACATGGTGCTCACCACCTCCTCCGCCTTCTTCACGGCCTCCCTGGTCGGCATTCCTGGCGCCGGTGACCTTACTTCTGGATGGGAGTAGGCTTCCGGTGGCAGTTCGTAGTCTTCCACTGGTGCGATGTTCACAGGAACATCGCCACACATGCTTGATCCCTGCAACCAAGCATATTCAAGATTTCATTTTTGGAATCAAGAGGTCAACTAGAAACGATTTACTGAAAGTTAGCAAAAAAATGTTCAGAGATAGATGTTGGACTGCCGGAAGGTGTGCATACAGAGAGGAGCAGAGCCTTGTCAGCTCCATGGAACTCCTTGAAGGTGACATAAGCAACCTGAGACGTCTCTGAGTCCCTTCGCATCTCGACGTACTCGATGTCGCCAGAGAAGGAGAAGAACTCCTTCATGTTCTCTGCTGTTGCTGACAGAGGCACATTGGTCACCTTGATCGTTCTGACCTGAAGCAGAGAGAACATCATATCACACATTAGATCAATCAATGAATGAGCTTTTGTTATTTTATTAGCTTGTACTTGTGCAGAACGAAAAATATGTTACGTTGACACACTGAATATGTTCCTGAGCATTGTTCACTGATTTGATCTTTTTTCCAAAGAAAACAGTTTTTGTGGTATGACCGTATGGGCATCGACTAGGTTTTTTGCCTACTCTGGCGGTGCTCCTAGGAAAACCAGACCCACAGCAAAGGCCAGCTGCTGCAGACGAAACCTCCAGAGAGTCGCGAAACCCGTAAACCAACCCAACCCAGCACCTCACTGAACCTGCTCTGAAACCGCCGGAAACCATCAGAAACCAACCCATATACTAGACACACGGGTTGGGTTGAAAATTAACCATAACCGGGTAAACCCGGACCATGTACAGGCCTAAGTAGACGCAACACGGATGATATTTTCGGCCAAAAAAACAAAAAAAAACACATGAACCATATGAGCAGCAATGCAGGATAGTGATGATGCAGGGAGATGGATCGTCCGACTCACGTCTGAGACATCGATGGTCCAATTGGGGGAAGTGCAGAGCTGTGGTGATGGTGATGGTGATGGTGATGGTGACGGTGATGGTGAGGTGCAAAGTTCAGCAGGAGCTACTCCTATCCTCAAACAGCCAGGGCCCAGCCGGACCTGCATTAGCAGACATGCACACGACGATCATCAGCTAATCAAGGGAGGGCTTATGGTTTATTATCTTCCTGAAACTGAAGCAAAGGCACCTAGCAAGCATCCTGAGACTAAACTAAGTTCAGTTCCGTTAATCGACTACTAATTTGTCTAGTTATTAACGGTTTGTTCGATCTATGTGCATTGAGCAGACTGCAGACCAGTGCAAAGTTGGAAAATACAGTGATGAATAATAGTTTAATAGGCCTCGTCAGTCAGGTGCGTCCCTAGCCAGATGCGCTTTTCGTTCAGCACTGTAAGAAAATCTCATGGATCCGATCGTAGCTAAAAACACACCCGCTGTTACTAATGTGTGTGTATGATGACGGGGGCTTTGGTTTCGACGATAGATTTCACTGCATACATGCATTAGTGTCTTCTTTCCGATTCTGAATAAATCTTATGCATGTATGATTTTCACTGCATTTATTCCATATTTCCATTACATCTCGTTTATTTACGACTCAGGAAGGGAGAAAAATTATTGTTTCATGTTTGATGACCAAGATAATAGTGACCAACATCGACAAAATGTGTAGATCAATTGGAACGAACTGAGAGAAAAAAACAATTGGGGAAAAAACAGGCTGTAGATAACAACTGAATATATCAATGCAGCAGTATCCAAGCGCGGCCACTAACCGCCATGAACACACCCACGACGACGGAGCCGGGTTAATTAAGCCACGGTGATGGATTGGATCAATCTGCGGCCACACGGCAGGGTACACGAGTGCGGCGCTCCTGGTGCTCACCGGCGTGCTAGTGTCGGAGGGAGAGAGAAATAGCGAATGAGACAGTGGGTGGAGCAGCGGCAACTTCGGTCCAGTCCAGAACCGCTTCTAACGGGCAAAGCACTGAGCACTTGTCCACAGCTCATTTCATGTCTGACCACACACACATGGTAGTATATATATGGATGGAACTTTGCCTAGCTGTTGACGCCGTCGGAAGTGGTCCGAATCACACATCAACAGGGTATTGGACATCCGGGCCGCTACGGACCGAAGAACGCAGCAAGATATCACTCTTTCGTGGTGAAGAACAGAGAGATTTATAAGCAAACCACCAAAGGATAACCAACGTGCTTGCGTGACGAAGAACCGGCTAGTTTTCAGACAAACTAGCAAAGAAACATTCGAAACTGTTGCCCAGGAGGGACCCCGTTAGGGCAAGGATGTCGCTAGGTTACCTAGGTCGGCCGGCAAGCCTAGGGCGCAATCCTTGGTCGTCGGATCAAGGGATGGACAGCATGGGGGTTGGAGAAGAGGGTAAAAGGGTTAGAGTGGAGGTACTAAATTGATTTGTATGACGATTGGATATATGAGAACTCAATCAGCCATGTAACCCTTATTTCAATATGGTATTATTATCATGTCGTTCTATGGAGTTTTCTTTAGATTGGGTTAAAACTGTTATGGGCCTATGTAAATTGACTTGGGTCTAATTCGAGTGTCAACCCAAGCTTATGATCATTATCTCGCCGGCTCGGCCCAACTGTTTTGTGGCTCGGGCCTATTAACTCTTTAGCAGAAACAGAGGCCTGCCATGGCCCATACATACAGAAATAAGCAAAGAAAAAAAAACTTTACGTCAGTACACCGATTATTGTAAATTTCTCTCACGTCGTCTTCCATTTTCCTCTATTTAATTATTTATTTATCAAATATTTAGAAATAACATACCACTAATTATAAAACACAATTGAATATCACTCTGGGCGTTCGGTTTTAACCGACAATTCGGTTCGGTTAATTCGGTTATTTAAAACTTTGGTTTTCATACTTCAGCTCCCGATCGGTTCTCCAGAAAACAGAAAACCGTAGAATTCAGTTTTGATTTTTTCTATTCGGTTTTTGGTTTTAACCGAAATAACCGAAACTCCAGAAAACAAGCTTACATAAATTCAAGCACTCCAGAAAATAAGATTACATAAATTCAAGCACTCCAGAAAACAAGCTTACAAGCCTCAAGTGATATATTAGTACAGTGTATGAATTCAACAAATCAACAAGCTTACAAGCTTACATAAATTCAACAAATCAACAAGCTTACAAGCTTACATAAATTCAACAAATCAACAAGCTTACAAGCTTACAAGCTTACAAGCTTCAAGACAACAGTACAGAATTACATAGATTCAAGAGTTCTTCATTATTCAAATAGAGAAGTAGCCGCAAGCCAGCAGCAGCATCATATGCCAGGATCCATTCCATACACCAAGACACCAAGTGGCGAGTGGGCAAGTACTGCTGTACTGGAGCATCAGCAGTCCTGCAGCCATCAAGTGATCTCAGTTAGTGAATGTGAATCTCAGCAGTCCAAGAAATATTAAACAGATGAATGTACTTATGTACAAAACCTGCAATATAAATTTACCTTTTACCAAGTGATCAGGACTCGGTAGCTGTAGTAGCTTCCTTAGAAATGGACAGGCCACCAAGTTCTAAAATAAATAAAGAATAGATGATCTAAGTTAGTATAGTGTATAAATCATGAAGCATATTAGAAGCAACTAATAATTTAATATGTTGCCTTCCTCAAGCAAAAACATTTGTTTGCTGTCCTCTTTAACACTAACATAGTTTCCTCCACGAAGCCAATCATTTGCACAAACAAGGCGCTCAACCATTTTTGGGGTTAGTGAGGTCCTAAAGTCATCAAGAGTTCGGCCACCAGCACTGAAGGCTGACTCAGAGGCAACTGAGGTGATAGGAATCGCCAATAGATCACGAGCCATTTTAGATAATATTGGGAATCTTGTTGAATTAGCCTTCCACCACTTTAGAATGTCAAATCCTTTTGTGTCCGGCTCATTATCTTCTGATAGATACTTGTCTACCTTAGATTTGACAGTTCCACCCTCACTGTTAATCTGCTCAGTAATTACTGACATCCACCAACTCACTCTTGTGCTGGTTCCAGCTGATTCAGATTCAGTAGGTTGTGGTGCCTTATCTTTTGGGGCATACATTTCCTTGTACTCTTCAAACAAAGCACAAAAATAAGTGTTCACTGTATCCCACATCTTTTCTCCTATTGTATCCCCAAACATTACCTTAATTACCATTCTAATGCATTTTAAAAGTTTGTATCTAGGATCAATAGCAATACAGAAGAAAACAATGAAGTTGAGCAGCTGATCCCCTTATCTTTCTCTCCTCTCTTCTCTCTGTCTCCCAACCTCTCACCATACTTATCTCCCCAGTACTTGTAGTACTTCACTAACATTCTCATACCCATTTCCTTACACAGGTTGTCTTCACTATGACACCATTCTCTCAGCAGAAGTAATACATCAGCATTCTCATGAAAATAAGTGTGAGATGTTGGACGACTTTGTACAGAAACACGGAGAGTGAGGTCATAAAAGTGTTCAAGAAACTCAGCCATCTTCCTAGCCTTCTCCCAATCTGTTTTTGTTGGTACCCCTGGACCATTCTCTCCTTCTAATTCTAATTTGTAGTATGGGTCTTCATCACTATATCTTTCAAATACTTTTTGGTACTTCTGTGCAGCATTTAACATAAGGTAGGTTGAGTTCCATCTAGTGCAAATATCTAAGTTAAGAAATGCTTTGCTCTGTACCTTGGCTAACTCAGCACATTTCTTAAATTTTACCAACCTAGATGTTCCACACCTGATAAACTTAACAGCCACGGACACGCTGAATTGATATATCAATTTCCTTCAACCCATCACCTACCATTAGGTTGATAATGTGAGCAGCACATCGCATATGCAGGTACTCTCCTTCAGCAAAACAACCTTTTGACTCATTCAAGATCCGCCTCACATACTTAATTGTGTTATTGTTTGCACTAGCATTGTCTACTGTTATTGTGAAAACCTTGTCAATGCCCCACTCAGCCAAACAATTCTCTAATGATTTCCCAATGTCCTCCCCTCTATGGCCCTTAACCAAGAAAAAACCAATAATTTTCTTCCTTAGGTTCCAGTCATTGTCAATAAAATGGGCTGTAACACACATGTAGTTTTGGCTATTCTTTGCAGTCCATGTGTCAGTTGTGAGGCAAACTCTTTCACAATTTTCCTTAAAAAATTTCTTAAGCTTTTCTTTCTCATCTTCATATACTTTAACACAAGCTCTAGTGATTGTTCTTCTAGATGGCGGAATAAACTGTGGACATGCTTCTGCCATTAATTTCCTAAGACCAAAACGTTCAGATAACACAAATGGTTGTTCATCTTCAATTTTCATCTCAGCAAAAATCCTTCTAAGTTTATCAGGATCAAATTTCCATGTGGTTACAATACCCATACTACTAGTGCCAGCACATGGTGTCAGTTGCAAAGTTGCTTGATTATCAACTACTGGTTTGTTTGGATTCTTTTTGCAAATCTTCAGATGAGCTTTCAAGGATGACGTACCATTTGTTCTTGAGCCACAATGAAACAGCTTTTGACACCACTTGCACTTGGCTCTCTCTTCCCCATTATTAAGTTTGACCTTGCTGAAACTATCCCATACATCAGATCTTAGAGCCATGGGTTTCCTTTTCCTGGATTCTTCGTCCGCTTTCTCTCCATCCTTGCTCTCCTGCTGCTCCTTGCTTGCATCTACCACTCCAGTCGTTGACGCTCCAGCTTCAGTTTCTTGAGTTTGAGTCTGATTAATCTCACAAGCAACAGTTTCATCTGTGTCCCCCATCTAGAAACGAAATGTTTCAAATCAGGAATTAACAACAGCAAGGAGAAGAGGAGAAGACCAGAAGAAGAATTGAAGCTCGATCTAAACTTACATTGGAGGACTGCTCCGTCCGTGCCGCCGTTGTCTTCGTCGGAGAACTTCACGAGGGTGTTGCCGGGCGCCTGGCCGCCTGCCGCGCCTCCTCCCTGGTCCCTGCGACTGCGCTCTCAGCCTTCCGCCTCCTGCCTCCCTTCTCCTCGCTGGCTCGCCGTGACCTGCTGCAGTCGCCCGCCCGGCCGGCACTCGACGATTTAGGGTTAGGGAATGGCGAGCGTCCGAGAGAGCGGGATGAGCGGCTGCGGCGCTGCCTCTGCGCGCTGAGCTGCGGGATGGGGGTTTCCTTTGCGTCTTGATGGGCTGTGGAACTATGGGCCGTGACTCCGTGAGGGACTGAGGGCGTGAGGCGACGGTCGACGGAGGTGTTTCCAGTTTTCTGGTCTGCAACATGCACTTCGGTTTGTTCGGTTCCTCGGTTCTGTTTGAGTAGAAAACCGAAGCTGAAGCCGAACACCGTGCAAAACCATAAACCGAACCGACAACAGAAAACCGAACAAACCGATATTTCGGTGCGGTGCGGTTCGGTTCGGTTCGGTTTGCGGTTTGCAGGTAAAAAGTGCCCAGGCTGAACTGAATATATGAGGCTGAAAGATATACATGTCAAGATCAGTAGTATCTGCTTGTTATTATTAGAGATGTTCACTTTCCCATACACTATAGATATATTTTTTTCCAAAGATTTATTTTTTTGCATAAAAATACAGTAATGGACCCTTGCCGTGGCTGAGACTTTCTGCCTTCCCACTGTTGTTTCGGTTTCCTGCAACACCGAGGTTTTCCCCATCCTTTGTTTTTCTGCCTCCTTCCCAGCCTTGGGAAAACCCTAGCCGCTCCAATTTCCATTGGTTTCCATCCCCTGCAGCTGGCAGGCCGTTCTGGT